TTAGACCTTTTTAGTCCAAAAGTCCCTTAAATAAATGCCATTTGAAAAATATGAAATGATTATTTAAGGCGATTTTGATTCAAAAGTACCTTAAATAATACTTTTCAATTTTTTGAAGGATATTATTTTAGGTATTTTTGGTAAAAAAATATCTTAAATAATTTATAATTTTTTAAAGTTAAAAAATACCTTAAATAATAATTTTTACTTTTTTGGACCGTATTATTTAAGGCATTTTTTACTAAAAATGTTTTAAATAATCCCTACATTAGTTATAAGATTTAAGAATTAAAATATAAAAAAATGAAGTAACTTAGTTAATTAGAATATATGTTTATTAATCATAATGTTGTAGGTTCAACCCTTAATGTTTTTTTAAAATGATTATTTAAGGTGTTTTTTATTAAAAATACTTTAAATAATTTTTTTCATTACTTATAAGATTTAAAAGATAAAATAAAAAAAAATTGAAATAGCTCGGTTGGTTAGAGCATATGGTTATTAATTATAAGGTCGTAGGTTCAATCATTTCTTTTATTTTAACGATTACTTATTTTTTTTGAAATTATTTAAGACGTTTCTGGCAAAAAATTGTTAATTTTTTTAGGAGATTATTTAATACCTTTTTTGCTAGAAAATATTTTAAATAATTCTATTCAATTTTTAAAAGATTATTTAAAGTATTTTTTTGACAAAAAATATCTTAAATAATCTTAAAAAAATTGAACTAGATTATTTAATTTTTTTTAGTTGAAAAATATCTTAAATAATCTTAAAAAAATTAAATAAAATTATTTGAAGCGTTTGACATGAAAAAAAACTTTAAATAGTCTTATTCAATATTTTTAAAAAATTATTTAGGGTGTTTTTCGATCAAAAACATTTTAAATAATCATAAAAAAATTAAACAAAATTATTTAAGACATTTTTAATGCTAAATGTCATTAATTACAATATACAAAAAAAATTGTTAACAGTAAAAATTTATAATTGATTTGTAATCACTTTCAAATATGTTTTTTAAAATAATAATAATAATTTCATAATTTTTTATTTAGATTAAATTTAAAAATAACGTAAATTTTTCTTTCGGAATACCATCGAAAAGTAAATTTTTTATTTGCAAATTTTAAAAACTGTTGGTAATATATTACTTTCTTTAATAATTAAATTATCTTGAATCAAATATTAAAATTAAACATTGAAATCAAATATTCAATAATAAAATTTCGAGAAAAAATATTGGGATTCTCTCTTGTACCAAATCCTTTTTAATGCTATTAATCTAAAAAACCCTCCATTTTTCGTTTGTTCTTTGTTTCTCAATTTCATTCCAAAGCCCCGACTCCCGACTCCGGTGTACGGCGCCTACTTTCCTCTTTCTGCCAACCCCAAAAAATCCCAGGTTGACTTCCTCTCTCTGTTGGCCGATATCTGCGGCAGTGGCGTTGTCTGGGTTTGTGAACCACGCTTGGATCTGTAAGTTTTTCCTTTGAGTGTTTTTTTTTTTTTTTTTTAAGGAGCCAGGGTTTGTCTTTATCTGTTATCGGCCAGTTTATGAGATGCTTCTTACATTGAAAGGTAAAGCTGTTCAACCGTTTTTTTTTTCTAGCATAGCTCCAATTTTTACTGTGTAGTTGGTTCCAGCAGAAAGTGGATTGAGCAAAGAGAAACCCTGCAATTCTCTCGTCTAATATTTTAATTTCTCTCGTTAATGTCTCTTTTTGGGCTGATTGGATGGGGATGAACCAAACCTCTTTTCTCTTCTAACAGTCTAATAAGATTCCTGTCTCTTTCATTGAGATAAGTTTTAAAATTTATATCAACGACTTGACTTTGCTTTTCCATTTGATTTGGCAACTCAATTTTTCATTTTCATGATATAATCCATGTTAATCAGCATGATCCGTATCATCAGATGTGTTTTTTTTTTTTAAATATATATTGTTTGGAGCAATGCTGCCCTCATCTTTTCGATGAACCTACGCATTTTCAACTTCTAAAAAATCTTTTTGACATCTCATTTGAACAAAATCAAAGAACATAGATGATAATTTCAACTGATATATATACCAATGTTTCTGCATTTTAAATGATGCTTGGTATTTTTTAATGGTACACTTTTTGTAGAAGAACTGTCGTATTTGTAATGACATAGTGGTGATAATGGGATGAGCTCAATCACTTGACTCTTTGACAACGAAATTCAATAATTATCAGCATGTTTTAGTGGAAGGAAATTAATATGTCATTTTCATATGGAAATTAGTCATATCTGATTTAATTACAACTTGAATTAAGCTTGAAAATCTGCTACGTTGGTTAATTGATGTGGTTTTAAGCTTTATGCTACTGTTTGTTTCCTTTTAGTATAAGATGCTTGAAATGGGTTAAGAAATGATATGCTTGAAATGTGCTTTCTTCGATTCCTTTTCATGTTTTTCACTTTATTTTCTCTTTTACCATGAACTTTCTTTATTTTATATTATTATTCAATTTATAAAACCTAATACCAATAGAATAAAGAGATGCTTGTGTGTATGTACAGATCGACCAGAATAAGCCAATGCAAAAGTTTAGATGGCACTGATTTATATCCTATGCGCTTTATTGAATTTTTTTGCATACAAACTGGTTTATTTACACATAAGCTAAGGTCCTGGCTTCAACCTTCGCAATCCGGTGCTTGTTGGTGATGGTAAAAATGATACTATTATTAAATGGTTCTTAAATGCCATTAGATTGGTTCCATTAGATTGTCAGTGTAAATGACTTGAGCTAAGAACAGAATGATTAAATACAATTATCATCGAGATGCTTTCTTTTAAGATTTGGCATTATGTTCATCTATTATAACAGCAATGGATGTTGATTAATACTGTTCTTTGGCAGTTAAAGAAAATGGCTGGAAGAGCACCTGAACAATCAACTGAACCTAGGAACTGAGTTCACATTATTGTTCAGAGTCCAACCTATCTCAGAAGCATGACTAGCCCAAATAGAAGGAAAAGCCCTTTGACGTGCCCAACATCTTGAGAATGACTTGCATGAATCTAATGGCAAAGTAAACATCACTGAGAGACAGGATGGCAAATTAGTGGATGCTAAAATGCAAAGACGACACATATAAATTCTTTCCTCTTAGTCAGCAGTTATTTTGTTTAAAACATTTTATTTGATGTAAGTCTGAACTGAAAAGCCTATGAATCTCAATCTTGTCTTGCTTTAAGAACTATGACATGGCATAAAATCTAGTTCTCTTTTCAAATATATGCACTTATAGATTCTTTTCATTTTGAATATTTTCCAGTCTAAGCAGTCAATTTTAAGCATTTGGAGGAAATTATTTATGTATTATCTCATTAACTTCCAATTAAAAATATAATAATAAAGATTTTTTAACTTAAAAAACGTAGTAATAGTCTATTTTGTTAAAGTTAACTTGGTCTTTTACTTTGTTAAAGCTAACTTGAGCTTTTTGCATTACAGTTTACGAATCATAGGCTAACCAATGACAGAAATTTATGTTATGACAATCGACAAGACACTGTTAATATTTTTCTGCTTTGATTATAGGGCAATTGAGAAGATAAAGTCTATATTTATGCTAATGTTAAAAATTTAAAGTTATTGATCACTGTACTAATATCACAATCTTTTTTTTTTTTTATATGGGTGCTTTTACTATATATTTAGTCTTTAATTCTATAAAAGTTACTCTTGAAACCCTTTATTTTAAGATAGTTAAAGATTAAAGTTACTATTATTTTTATTGATAATTGTAATTTATTTGTTTTGTAATTATTTTTTTATATAGGTTTGTTGGAAAAAAATATGGGCCAAATGTTCATTTGAAGAAGATATAATGTTATGAAGGCACCATGACAAGCATATATATTGTTGTTGATTTCTTGTAATTTGTGTGTGGACTTTTTGCTTGGATATTTAATTTGTTTCAATGAGGACTTTAATTTCTAAGTTTCATTATGTTTTTTATTTGTGTGTTGTATTTGAATCATTTGATGCGATAGTTATTTGCTTGGATTTGATTGTTAGGTAATTTATTATTATTATTGTTGCCATTATTATTGTTATTATTTTAAAAATATAATATTTATTAGGTTTGATAAAAAAAATAGTTGTAAAAAATATTAAATTCAAGTGCAATTCGAGCATAAAAATCGAGTTTATTTTTACATATTAATTGAGTATAATCGAGCGAGATCGTTCGATTTTTATTTCAAGTCAAATTCAAGTTAAAAAATAAAATTTGATCGAGTTTAAATCAAATTTAAAATTTTGAATTTGAAATTAAGTTTGAACTTGATATTATATCAATTCGAATTCAATTAATTACACTATCCTTACACCCATTCTATTTTTTTCTCCGCCTATCTCTAGACCAAACTCCACTCCAGCTCTCCTCACTTCATAGTGCTCACAAGTCATTGATATGAGATCTCCCAAGCTCTCACCTTGTCACTCATTCAAGCTGACTCAAGCTGTCAAGCTCTCACTCATTCAAAAATTTTCAAGTCACAGCCACTGACTCAGTCGATTTCTCAAGCTCTCACTATGTCACCCACTAAGTACGAAAATTGATGTTCTTAAATGATTCACCGTTGACAATGATAAATGCTAAAATGCGCCCTTAAACAATGTTCATATGGAAAATTTACTTGTCCTTTTTGCCACAATGGGCATGTCAGCTTCAAAAGTGATACAGCAGTCTTAGGAAGTCAAAATTTCTGTTCCATTTGCTGCTTCATTTTCTTCTCGTGGTCTTTGAATTATGTCTTTTAACCAGAGAATTTTCTTTTTCCTTAAATCCTCTTCTCCCGAAGTTGGTTTGATAAATTTCGGTTTTCATCCCATTAATCGATTAATTTATATTTTTATAAATTAAATTGATTAAGTCGATTTTTAGATTTCTACAATCAAATTAATCAAATTTGCTGGCCTCTATTTAGTTGTACTTAAAATATATAAGTCACACATATTACACCACGCATGAATTTGTTTACATTCCTACCCACAAGCTGTAATTTTCCGAAAGAAAAATCTCTCCATCGTTTTTTTAACGAACGCCCTTTTTCCCAACTTTCACTCTCTTTTTTGAGAAAAAGAAAAAGGATAAAAAAATTTCAAGGATTGTACTACACTACTAACTCTACAGCTAAAGGTAGGCAGACGACAAAGTGAAGAGAAAAGCCACCCAGAAAGAAAGAAAGAAAGGGAAAATCAGTTGGAAAACATAATAGTAAGCAAATGAGCATATCTTTACCAATGAGGCTGCTATTGCCTTTAACCACTCCCACCAGAACTCCTTCTCCTCCTTATTATTATTCTTTTCTCTTTTCTCCAAACCCTAATTTCACTCTCTCCTCTCAGTCTCATCACTCATGTTCTTTCAGAAAAAGCCCACATTCCTTCTCTAAGCAAAAGGTATTCTAATTTAAGTTTCAATCTCTTCTTTCTGTTTTTGTTTTTATGGAAAAATTAACTTGTTTTTGAAGGGGGCTTTCAGTTTCTGCTTGGGTCTTTCTTAAAATTATTAGCTATTGAAGCTTCTTTTATCTATTCAATCATGATTGTGTAGCCTAGCTCTGAGTTTGGCCTATCCTATAGTTTTTTTGTTTCTTTTAATAAGGGGATAAAAAATTTATTCTTGTTTTTTGTTGTATAAAGTTGTTCATTCATGTCTTTAAATGAGGAGTAGAAGTTTTGAATTTCTGTTATGTGTTTACTTCTGCATGTTTTAGTGTTTTTGGCATTGACATGGCTCATAATTTACTAAAACTTGCTGAATTATGAATATATGGAGTCATTTGTGTAATGGCTGATGTTTAGAGAAAAGAATCAAGAAACGTCGTTTGGATCAAATATGTTCGTAAGATTCCGTGGAAGTAAATTTTTTGAAAATGGTGAGACAAGTATTATGAACCTATTCATTGCCTATCTGGCAATATGTTAGTCAGAAAAATGTTTTGAACACTTAGGTTATTAGTCACCGCAACACCTATCTATGTTACCTAGCTCTAGCGAATGTCAATGAATTTGATTTCGCTTAGATCTCTGTTCCTGATGTATGCTTAGTCGTATTTTTTGTTGGATAGGAAATTGTAAGATTGGAAATGGTGTTCATTGAATGGTAGGCTCCTTTGCATGCATGTCTACATATGATGTATCACTACTTAGATATTAAGATGGTAAATGATAAGAATGGAATTGGGCCAGGTCTGGGACATTTAAAAGTTATAATATCTAAAATATGTTGGTCAAAAGAAGAATTTTTTTTTTTTTTAATATTGGATACAGAATCATGCACACGCCTGGTGATAACTGATAATCTGCAGTCCCATCATCCTCAAATGGAACAGGGTCGGGATTGCAGGTCACCATTGGGAATAGGAGAAATTTTATCCCCAATAAATTATAAACTTAGTTGAAGAGGGGGAGGTATTAGGCATGATTTTCTATTGATTCTATGGCTTTTGAAATCTTTATCAAGCACTGTAACAGTGGTTCCAATTCTACTCCATATGTTTTAGTTGCTGATGGAAGGTAATAACATAACGTTGTTTGCACTTGTGGTATATCGCAGGGAGGTGCTTTGTTTTTTTTTTTTTGGTTAAAAATAAGAGAAAATGATTTCTGTTAGCAAAGCTGTGGTTGATTAAAGGCTAATAAAATCTTTTTGTTGGCACTCCTTTCTTGTCTGTTTATTGTCTTTGAAGTTGCATGTTCTCCGTATTAATAGTAAAAGAGCGTGTGTAATCTTGGGTGTAAATTGTGAGGATTTTTTTTCCTTTGCTTGAAAAAGGATTAAGGGCATCAGATCTTGCATATTATATTTAATTAAGGTCTTGTAATACATTTTATTGAAAAATAAAATTATGTCCAATTTTGTTTCTGCAAATGATCCATGGGGCTTCTTACTTGTTAAAATTGATTATTTAAGTCGCTTGGGCATGAGAGGTTTGCATTGTTTATCCAATGAATTCGATTGGTTCTCTAACCTTGTAAAGTTTGGGTCTCTTGAATCAATCTTCTTGTATCCATTATGTATGTTAGAATTACTTGGTGACACCAATCTAATCCACATCACATTTTTTTCACAACTTTTAATGTTAAGTTTGCATGAACAGATATTCCTTCCAAGTTGTTGAATGTATTTCTAAATTGGATGTTCTGCCATTTGTAAATGTGTCTATTTCATATTTTATTATATTGATTGAAGGATATTCGACTTTCAACATGTCTCAAAATTAATCTGAGGTCTTGGCTGATCACCACTTTTTGTGGGCACTTGGTTTTCACTAGTGATTTACTGTCAGGGACTCTGTTTTTATGTACTGGTATAGTGGCTTTGTGGACATACAAGAAGATATAAAGAGATGGATGGCTATAGATATGAAGAGGAGGATGCAATTTGCTTATTTAGTTCTGATGAAGATACTGGGACACAGATTCCAACACAAGCCCAATCTATTGTGGAAGGATCAGGGGCAGTTATGGTTTCAGAGTTGAAACCTCTTCCTGATGTAGATTATTTGCAGGTATGTAATTTTTCTATAGGACAGCATCATTTAAGTTGGAAGTTGTGTATGTTTTGATTTACGGGGATGATAGTAAAGAGCTGAGCTCCTACTATAGATGCCACTACCATGCCTGTAGTTTGTTGGTTATAATGGATTTTTGCAAATGTCTTTAGATGTGTCTCTTTGCGAGAACCTTGCTTCATGATATACAGCTCTGCAAAAACCTTAGGTAGCTTGCAAAATGAAAGTTTGGAAACACCACTATTTTCTTTAACTTAATATACCTGGTTTAATTATAACTAGATGATAAGATGACCTTTGGCCATCTCATATTAACGTTTAATCATAAATGGTATTTAATTTGTCTTAGCCAAGGTCTTCTTTGCAGCGGCTTGAAACATTTGCTGATTTTAGTATTTTGGAATTTGTTTTGACTGTTAACTTCTATCTATGTCGTACATTTATGCAGGAGTTATTAGCAATTCAGCAGCAAGGGCCTAGAGCTATTGGGTTTTTTGGGACGCGGAATATGGGGTTCATGCACCAAGAGCTTATTGAGATTCTTAGCTATGCATTAGTTATAACTGTAAGATGTAATGACTTCAAGTTTTTATTTATCCTTCTCTATATGGCACCATGGATTGTTGTTGCATGCTGAAATCTTCTGAGTCTCACTATCTTTATTCTCCATGAATATATATATATATATATATTTATATATGTTTGCACCAAAAATTGTTTTGTTTCTGACCTTGCTGCTAACATTGCTTGCAGAAAAACCATATTTATACATCAGGTGCATCAGGTACTAATGCAGCTGTTATCAGAGGTGCTTTAAGAGCAGAGAAACCAGAGTTACTTACAGTAATATTGCCACAGAGCTTGAAGAAACAGCCACCTGAGAGCCAGGAATTATTAGAAAAGGTAATTAGGTTGTAATATCATTTACTCATCCTCAGGAATCTTTTTGCCTGTGCCATTAGTTATTATTATGGCTTCATCTGACATTGCTAATTTCCTTACATCTGTTAGATTTGTTTCTTTAATGAGTAAACATGTTGCCTTTAATATCCATAGAAGAAGATTCTATTGAAAATTCATAATCAGTTCTGGAAACCTGAAGGACTGCTGTTAAACTCGGTTTGCTCAGGCAATATCATGTTCATTTCTTATGTTAAACTGTTATCAATGCAACACCACAGGCCCATCAACTGGAAGTTCTAACTCGAGTTGCTTTTGGTATCATTTGGAAACAGTCATATACCAAGGATTTACCAGTTGCACTACCGACGTGGAATGTGGCTTGTGCCCAAAGATGACCTGTCAAGTATCTAGTTGAAACTTTTAACACCAGTACAAGGCTTGCAGTAGTTTAATTATGATATTTCTTTTGTATTAAGCACTATGTAATAGACTATTATTTTATGCAATAGTGAGGAGAAAATTTAGTTCTTAAGGCTCATAGGCATTTGAAATTTTATTGGAAAATTTCATTTTTGGTCCCTAATCTTCTACAAGACACATTATGAATGGATATACTTTATCACAAGTAAGGTAAATTCAGTGTTATATTTCCATTCTGCATTATACTGTAAGAATGTGATTTTTTTACGGTTTTTATTTCACATTCTCATTGTTGTGGTTTTGCTTAAAAGCATAATCTAAGAGATCCTTAGTTTTTGCTCAAATGTAACACAAGTTTCAAATTTTTTATGCTTGAATTTTATTGCTTTATAGAAGATGGTTGCCACCATGGTCCAAGTCCAGGGATCCAGTGGTAGTAATGAAGAGTTTTGATGCCATCTGGTGCAGTCAGATAATTAAACATTGTAAATTTGATGTTTTAAACTTGCTTTTACTGAAAATCTCAAATTAATTTGGAAGGTGAAATTGAAATTATATTTTTCTGTTTGGTGTGAACCTAATGTTTTACTCTCAAATTTTCAGGTGAAGACTGTGATAGAGAAGCCTTATAATGATCATCTACCTCTGATAGAAGCCAGCAGGTTTGTCATAACTCTGTTTTCTTCCAGTTATCGTTTCAGCACACCTGCAGAGTACAATCAGTCGTAAGTTTTAGGTTTCAAGCTAAAAATAATGAGCTTGTGATAAGATCTCAAAGGGAAGCTGATACTGGAAAGTCTATTAACATAAATGCAGTGAATTTTGAGCTACTTATTATTACATTATCGAAACAGAACAAAGTATTGTGTTATTACTATTTCCTTGATTTGCTGCTTGTGAAACTTAGTAGTAGGGTTTATGGTTGGAGATTCTCTATCTTGGAATTCTCTTTGAAACTTAGCAGTTCTGGCAACTAGTGTTCTGTCACTTAAGCTGAGCTTGTTTGCTTTGATAAAGCATTGGGTAGCAAGTGGAAACTCATAATTATTTGCCAATTTAACTTCATTCTATGAGGTACTAGGCTGGCTTAGTGCGAGGCACTAGTCATTTGGGTTTAGTCAAGATAGCTTAGTCACTATTCTGTTTGACTTTGGTCAAGCCTGTATATGAACACATCTGAAATATTTGTCTAACCTAATTAGCTACCATGGAAGAATCGGAGAATGCAATGCTAGCCTGTGCTAACTTATTATTCTTGGTCATAGATTGCTATTATACACCAGTTTGGTACCATGGGATGGAGGGTAGAGAGAGAGAAAAGAGGCATCGGGAGACTACTATGGCTGGAAAAGGGGTAGAAAGAGAGGCTTAGAGCGGCAATTATGAGTAATATGCAGTAGGCCTAGAGAATGAATAGTTTGTTGCTATTGGATTGTTGATTTTCTGTGTAGTTTGCTAAACAAAAATTCATTTGACATGCTGTCAATGTCAAATTTGCAGGCTGTGCAATAGGGACATCATTTCACATGTACAACAAGTCATTTGCTTTGCCTTCCATGACAGTAAGTTGCTTATGGAAACATGCCAAGAAGCCAAGAATCTCCGGAAGATTGTGACTCTCTTTTACCTGGACTGAAACAATGTCTTTATTTGTCTATACATTATTTAGAGATAGAGAGAGAGAGAGAGAAATTGAGCTTTTGACTGTAAATTATACAAATTGGTTAACCATTTTCTTGTAGAGTTAACTATGATAATGGGAGCCATTTTGCTCTCTTTATTGCAAGTCCAGCGGGACTCTTATTGTTCATTGAACACTGAAATGAATAATTTTTATATGCATGTTCTACTTATTATACGTTGGAATTAATATTAAACAAACTGTATTCCGATTAATAACCAAATCTGTTGTAATCGATAACGTGATTAAATAATGCTTTTGAAAAAAAAAAAAAAAAACTTATTTTTCTTAATTAAAAGCTGTCTTAAATGACGGTTTTAGATATCATCGTTGTTACGGTAGATGTATGATTGAGGTGAAATTGAGAGTTTGGGCGAGTGAGATGAGTTATGTATAAAGGTGAAACTGGGAGTTTGAAACATGAGGTGAGATGTAATGAGAACAAAATTAATACTAAATACATTAGTTAAAGTTATATTATGTATAATTTTTCATCACAAAATTATCATTAATAATATTAGATGTAGATATATTATCTAGTTCAGGGGTTCAAATCAATTAGATCTGAATCAGATTTAAGTTTAATTATGAAATTTTATTTTATTTTTATTTTTTTTATTATTTGTATTAATATATTTTTTAATTTGTATTTTCTACTTTATCATGTTGATTTATCTTTTTAATTAATTTATTTGTTTAATTGTTTATCTAATTTATTTAAATTAGGTTAAAATGTTTAGTTTTATTTATTTAGTTTTTGATTAGTTATATTATCTGCTAAAAAAGGGATAAATAAACTAAAAAAAACCTTGTTGATAACATAGGAATTTAATAATAAGTGATAATCTCAGTTTTAAATTAAATTTGTGTTTATTTGAAATTCTCCTAATCTGTCCTATAAAAAAGACTTGCAATCATCACAACCAGCAAGGAGAATAAGAAATCACACAGAAACACATGGGGGAGAAAAAAAAAGAGGAATGGAAATTATAGTGGTTTGATCTTTAGAGAATTTGGGGATTAGTTTTTGGGGACAAAACCCAAGGGAAGATAAAAACATGTATATGATTGCTTTTATGATTTCAGAGTTATTGGTTTTTTGTTTTGTCTTTGACAATCTAAAAAAAAAAAAAAAAGAGAAGTAAGGTGGTTGAGTTAATAGAGTTGACAGTGTTTTTGGTTTTGTCTTTGGCAATCTGTTCTGAGTTTTCAAAAAAAGGGGAAAAAGAGGGATAATAAAAAAAAAAAAATAGAGAAGTAAGGTGGTTGAGTTAATAGAGTTGACAGCTTGGTGACACCTCAACGGTGAAAAATTTTTTGGTTTTGTGAAACAACAAATGAAATTGCTTAATAAATAAAGGAAAAGAGAAAGGGAATCGTGTATGGTGATTAAACGTTGAGAATACTGACTATGTTTTATAAACAAATAAGCTTAAGTTTATATAGAATAGAGACTAGAAAGAGGACAAAAAGAAACTGGAGACCGCAAGCCCAACAAAACAATAAAAGAAAAAGGGGTTGGCATTTGACTGAGACTTGGGCGAGGTTCATTTCACAATTTACTTAGGCCCAAGCTTTGGATTTATGAAGTCCGATATCCATCCCATATGGATTCAAGTTGAGCTGTGTGATACGAAGTTTGGTATTTTTCTTTTCTTTATCATTTGTTTTTCATTTAGCTTTTTTTTTCATTTATCTATTCTATTTCGTACATCATTTTACGAAAATTTTGTAACTATTAGGTATACCAATATAAACATTAAAAAAATGATTTGATAAGAAATTAAATTAAAAATAGTTTTAAATTAATCATACTAAATAATTGAAGGATTTAAATATCGAATTAAGTATTTATCAAATTATTAAATGACTTAATAAAGTTTTGTGAAAAATCATTTTTTAATCCTATCAAGCAATTAGATGATTTAAATCTTGAATTAAATCTTACCAAACTATTAGAAGATTTAATGACTATTTTTAAAATTTCATGAAA